GCATTTTAGGTCAAAAAATAAATAAATAAATAAAAGCATATTAGGTGCATAAAATAAAATATATGAAAAAAATCAAATGAATGGGACATGTATCATCACCTGAGGAACTTGCCCATGTCTGTAGGCCAACTGTCTGAGCCTCTACTATCATAGGGTTTATGACCTCGCTCTTTTCTTTTCCTTGAGTTCTTTCCCCTGTCATTATTACTTCCTGAATTCAACCGCACACGAATACACTTTGATAGGGTATCTGGCCCATCAACAGTGTCAGTAACTAGGAATTTCAGTCTCTCCTTGAAGAAGTTATGAATAGCCTGAAAACCAGTTATGTAGCCATGAACAACAAGCAATAATATGAGAACCTAATGTACACCAAAATTTAGCATAATTTGTTTGGAATACCGTGCGATGGGACTTATCAGAGCTAGGAGAAAGAACAACAGATTCATTATTGCTTTTAGCTACTTCACCGATTTGATCTATGAAAGCTTTCAACTTCTCCGTATCAGAATCACCAGCAAGAGATCTAAAAGACTCCATCTCGGTGGAATAATCTTTCTCCATCACATCTGCTATCTTTTCTTTTTTCTGCTCAGCAATCTACCAGACCAGACTATGTGTCAATATATTACAGCAACATTAATATTAACTAAATAGAAAAAATTGACCATGCAATAACAAATAACAGACTACTTACCTCTAAAGGAGCCTCCAGTGAGGTTAAGTGAACAACATTTCCATCCAAATCTACTTCATTTACAATAAAATCCGAATACCTGATGATAGGGGCTTGCGTCAAAGTTTTGTACTCATTCCTCGTGACACGTCTTTTGTCACACAGCAACTTTATTTAAAGATTTAAAGTCTAACATAAATTATACACTAGACTCTTTTTTTAATATTTGGGGCTCTGCAGGTACCCCAAATTCAAGGGCAAACCAATCAGACTGCATCACATGATCCAGAAATTGAAGCTAGAAAATCATTGATAAGCATTTATAAATATGTACATCAGTACATGCCAAGATTTGTCATAGGCCATAGACAAAATTACTCACATTATCTAAAGCAGCTGTATGATGCCTTAGCTATCTAAACCATGCAAATAGCTGGCCTCCATAATTTATTTGACAATAACATAAAAAGAAAAATGTATGCAACATAGAGACACCACCAGCACCCTCATCTTATCAAACTACATCAAGCTTAGCTCTAACAGATTAGAATCTCAGTAAAATGAAATTGGGACACTAGTGTGCAACATATATGATTACAAATAACATGTTTTCTGTTGATCCAAAAGGGAGTGTAAGAATAGAGGAAGCATCAATAGACTATCTTTGGTTGCATAGATAGACAATATTGCATATGCATGTTATTTCTGGAATAACTCAAAAAATTTACTCTTGTCGAATATGAATTGGTTTTGAATCAGTCTTCGAATATGAAAATACAAACCCTACAACAAATTTGGGAATTTTGCGTACTGAATTCACAATGGTTTTCAAGTAAATCCATTTCACTCATCATCATGTTTCAAGTTTTATGTATCATGTCATGTATATGTCTGAACTCCATTAATGCATTTATAAAATCAAACCCTAGGTGTTAAAATTGTATATGTTATACTAAGAAAATATGACATACTGTTTCTATTTTTTCTTGGTAAAGTGATACATTACTATGTACTTACGGGTTTATAAACTACACAAGGTATAAATCATATTCTGTCAACAAGAACAGTTTTATGAGGAGAACATATCATCGCAGTTGCTCCCATGAGGCGTCTAACCCGTTGATATAACATTTACTGCATTTTTAAGCATCACTTACATATATATAATTCGTCACTTCTCATATATATGTGGATATTGAGAAAGACATTACATGCATCGGGAAACCAGATGTCTTGTACATACAATTCAAATGAAACTAAACTTTCATAACATAGCTTTACTTGAGAATATAGATCACTATACAATACAACAATTAATTAATATGCGTTTGTATAAGGACATGGTTTGTCTCGAAACAGAAAGAGGGAATGAAAAGGGAACAGTGAAAATTTGGAAATTCATCCAAAAGTCCGGGCATAGGTAAGGTATATATGTGCTTCAAATCAAAACAATGCACAATTGATAGACAAAAACAGATTTTTCCTAGAAATCAATTCAACACAGAAAAATTAACTAGACTGAATTTAAACTTAATTAAAATTTTGAACTTGAATATCAAAATGTACATTGAATTAATTCTCTTCCAGAACGGATAACCCCAAAATTATTTCTCCGGACATCCCTAAATATATTTTAGCCTCTCCTTTGGTCTCGCTATAACTTTCACTACTTAAGTCACGAAATGGATGTCGAATAAGCTTCCACTGTCAGAAAATATGATTCTTGGAAAATCTCATTCTGCAAAGACCACTTAAGAGCCTGGGACGGAGACCTGATTGCAGAGAAGATCCCGTTTTCGTTCTAAATTGAGTCAGTTTCATTACATATTCACTGATTTTAAATTCTGAGAGCGGGAGAAAAAAAAAAACAACGGGTATAGAGAGAGCGAGAAACCTCTGCTTGAGAACTCCACTGAAGCCAGGGAGATGAGAGATGTAACAGACAATCCCAACATCCGATTCTTCAACAGAAGGCATTTTCCTCTGTGAACAGAACAACAATTTTACGAGGCGGAGTGTTCGGACTTTGAAATAGGGTTTAAGTACGTCGGGCAAAAAACGCATTAAAGAGGACGAGTCCTAATACTTGACGGGTGAGTTTGGTTGGAATAATGAATTGGGCTTCATATAATCCTTTTGATTGTTTTGAATGTGGTGTTTGGTTGAGGGTTTAGAGGGGAGGGAGAGTAAATTTTATATTTCACTGGTTCAATTTTTTTTGGAGAAGGGGAAGAAAAATTATAGACTAAAATCCCTTCAAATAGTGAAAATGGTTCCCTCCAAAATTGGGAGGATTTGGAGGGGAAGGAAAATGTGAAGAAGATATATTACTTTTATGTCTTTAATATTAGTATTATTTTATTGTTTTATCTCTTATATTATTAAGGATAAAATAGTCAATTCAACATTATTTTTCATTCCCTTTTATTTTCTAACCAAACAAGATTTACCATTTTTCTTTACTTTCCTTCATACAAAATTCTTCCAAACAAGCTAAAATTATTTTACATTCTCTCCCTTCCCCGTCCTTCCCTTCCATTAAATTCTCTCTCCTCCTTTTCCCTCTGTTGAACCAAACATATGAAAGGCTATCCATCTCTTTAGTTACTCTATTAACCTTTTTTTTTTTTTGTACAAGAAAGGGAGGCAAAGCCTCGCTCAACTAAGTGAGAATTCTACGAGGACAAGACGTCAATCCTGTCATGGTGTAACCATATGCTCGCCCCCGGCGGAGGGCTCAATTATGTATATATACATATATAAAGGTTTGTATTTACTTGAATCACATTGTAGTCAAATCGAATTTTTTAATGAAAAATTTAAAATTACACTTTGAAATGAATATAATGTAATTTATTATCAATTACTTGCACTGTACGAGTCGTGTACTAATTTTAAATAGACATGTTTTATGTAATTTTGTCCAATTTAAATTTCATATAATATTTTCAACAATTAATATAAGTAAATTGTATACATATTGATTCTATAATTCTAATTTATAAATATTATTTAATGAACACTAGTGCGTAGCCCGTGCGATGCACGAGTAAACAATATTAATAATGATTATAAAAGCTCTCGAGTTCGAGTCACCCGATGAAAGAACTTGAGAACCACAATTGATCATCTATTAAAAAGCAGAAAAACAAAATATTGTAAATTAAAGATGGGGTAAACAATATTAAATAATAATTATAAATTAAAAATGTGAGGTTAACATGTGATATAATTTATCGTATATCAGTTTATTATAAACAATATAAAATTAGCTTGTACAAGAGAATATAAAATTTGAATGTTTACAATATTCATGTTGATACCTAATTTGGCTCCGATTAAATAAATGATAAATCAAATAATAAAATACGGCCTGATAACCGAGGAGCCGAAAATACATGATAAATAAATATACAAACAAGTTATCAAAACAGATCACGCGAAAGCCGGACGGATCCCTAGATGCCGAGTTCGCCCACTGTCGAGGCGGACAGAGTTGAAAATAATTGGATGGCTCACATACCACGAGGAAACTGCTTTCGATAAACGCGACAATTGCCGAGAAGACGGACGCCAATTAGAACCGTCAAGAGTCATAAGCGGGTCCTACGATAATCATATCACATTAAATAATGTACCATTTGCTACATATTTTATTAGCCCACTTGTAAAATGGGGCCATGTATATATGTCAAAAAGAGGAAAGGAAAAGGAGGAGCTCCTCATTTTATTTTTTTTCCTTCCCCACAATACAAGAGAAAGAGAGAGAGTAGGGGAGGTTGGATGTCTCTCTCCATTTTTCATCTTCTTCCATAATAAAGAAATATCATTTTTCATCAATTTTGTCCTTCATTTTTCATTCAACAATTCGATTCGCATTTGATAGTTGATCGTCCGATTTTCGACGTCAACAGTTTGGCGCTAGAAGAAGGGCTCCGTAATTTGCTCGGAGTCAATTTTCGCCGGAAAACGGCCACGTCTCAACCGGAAAACACATTCTCCACCAAGTTTGTATTTCATGATTTCATCTTAATTTTCTCTACATCTATTTCTCCCATTTTCCATGGATATATATCTCTACATCATTATATGTTCATCCCGAAAATAAAAATAAAAATAACAAAAATCACAAACCTTTTTCCTCTGTTTTATCATAAATCTTCAAGACATGGGAATTAAAAGCTATTTTCACGCCCTGAGGCTCTCAAGCTCTTCGCGAGGAAAAGAAAGCCCACCTGAGAACTTCTAATTTTATCCTTTTTCTTTGGTTTCCCTACTGGGACAATGGAGGCTGAAGCTGCTGCAGTTTCACGCAAAGCTTTTTCCCTTTTTTTTTTTTTTTTCATTTCCCTTTTCTTTTTTTTTACTAAACTAAAGTGGACAACTTGCACCACTTGGACACATAAAACCACGTCTCTATCACTGTTATGTCGATCACTATCCTACTGTCCATATCACATCATGTCAGATATATATATATATAATAATAATATTAAAATATATGTAATTAAAAAAAAAAGAGAGAGAAAAACGGAATCCCAGAACCGACGGTGAACTTCAAACCACGGACACCAAATGCCGGCCAACAAGACTCCGGGCTGACCCGATATCACAGCCGCGGCAGGATGCCAAGCTCGAATGTCCTCAAGCCGTCGGAGCCGACCGACACATAACTGGCACCCCACAACCGATGCAAGTGCCGAGCTCGGACAACTCCACGACCGAAACCTCCGCTCGGCCACCAGAGACCAGACTTGGCAAGAGCCGACCTCCTCTGGTGCCGACCTCACGACCGGGACCTTCGCTGGGCTACCGGAGACCCAACTTCGCACGAGCCGACCTCCGATGGTGCCGACCTCATGGCTAGGACCTTCGCCGGGCTACCGGAGACCCAACTT